CCTGATTGTGCACTAAATTGGATCTGAAATTAATGGACTTAGACGGGGCAATTGATGCCCACTTTCTGCTCCTGCTGAGACCTTGACAAAAGCCTCCAGAGTCCCCAAGGACGTTCAGGTGCATCGACACAGCCTGTACCCTGACTGAGCTCAGCTGCTGCCGTGCAACTGCATCATGTAATCCAATATAAAGTAGACAGTAAGCTTACTATGATTGTTATTTAATATAGGCAACCAAGAACAACTGCAAACTCAGCACATAATAGGCTGCACGCTACATGGAAGAAAAACCTGCAAGAGCTAAATTAATGCATTAATACATGAATGAAGACTCAGTTTGTTGCAAAATTGTATAGTGCTATTCATATTTTGCCAACTGTGGAAGGCTGACCTCTGCAGTGCCCTGAAATCGTCTGCAGCCTCCAACATGTTGACCGCCCTGGATTTTGATAGTATAGTGTGTTAAAATGAACTGTATTCACTCCTCTGGATTTATTTTTACCATCGGAGTAAGAGAGGCTGACACAGTATATAATTTGCCCTAAAACCTCACAGTTATAAACCTCATTATGCTGATTTTCTAGGGGGCGTGAATACTTTTGCAAGACACCGTTAGTGAATCCAATGGGAGCACTCATCCGACATCTGATACAGAAAATGTCTGCTGCTATTGACACTGAAATCTTTTTGCTGTCTGTCACCTCATTCAGAGGCATCTCCTCAGAGAGGGATTTGAAATCTGAGACCCTCCACTCAGGACACGTACCCTTTTCTTCCCTTTCATCAAGGTCTCACCTTATTGTGACAAGGCAAATGGTGCATGTAGTTCCATATGATCTATGTGATAAAATACTCAATTTATCTTTGTTCAATGACTATAAATATATATGCCATGAGAAGTGAAAGCAGGCTGCATAGCAGAAATCTGTTGCACTCTGATTGATGAAGGGTTAGATGTTATCAGCTGTAAACCTATAAAACTAGAAGTGATTACATCTTTAGTGTAGTCTAAAGGGATTGCCTTGCACGCAACACCGAAGCAAAGTTGGGCATTTTTCCAAAGGGAAACTACACTGGATCTTTTAAAATTCACACGGATCAATAGATCAGTCGCCTGCATTCTGCTGAGGTGAGGAAAAGCATGAAGCTCTGGTAAGAAGAGGAGGGAGACATCTGTATGGTTACAAGTGAGCATCTAGGAAGGAAATGCTCCTCAGAATGCTCTAATGAGGCGGACCAACTTTATCACTGTTTGACAGTGGAATGTATTAACCCTAACCTTTACATTGAGCTTTTTTACTTTAAGACACAACTATCCATTATCCATAGATTTAGACTTCAAATTATTGGCTCTCAACTAATTTGTTTCAAAACAGGAAATAAGATAATTATCTATCAAATTATGATAGAAAAAAAGAAAATTCATCCATCTTCTCCTGCTCATCTGTCATGTTGGAGCCCCAAGCAGTCTATGGGCGAAAGGTGGGGTAGACCCTGTATAGGTCAGCAGTCTATCACAGGGCAACAGAGGGACACACAAACATGTACACAAACACCAAACACCTAGGAACAATTTACCTAACAGTCATGATTTTTGGACTGTGGGAGGAAGCCAGCGTACCTGGAGAGAACCCATGCATGCAGGGGGAGAAGATGGAAACTCCATAAAGACAGACCACAGGCAAGGAATCGAACTCATGTCCTTTTCTCTGCAATGCAACAGCGCTACAAACAGCACCAGCATGCAGCGCCGAAGGCAAATTAATTTGGGAGAAATTAAAATATATGTTTTTTGTTTTGTTTTGTTTTTTTGTTGTTGTTTTTTTACATTTTATTTAAAAGCAGCATGCATAAAAAATTATTTAACAATTTCTCTCTCCAATGATGAGCTCCCTGCATTAGAGGTTTGGAGGCCCTTGGACCATCACCCTAATCTTCACCTCACTAAAACCAGGACTACAAAAAATGAATATTACTTCTGGAAAGATTAAACTCGCTGAGCATTTTAAAATCTCCCTGTATTACAAATCCTTATCAAATCAGTAGTCTTCCTTAAGAAAAAAAGAAATGGTTTTAGCAGGGCATACACTGTACGATTTTTTTGCCAATTATCCAATCGTGCGAGAATTTTTCAATCGGGCCGAGTTTCAGCCTCATATTGCAACATGTAGTATACAGGGGGTAACCAGAGGCGATCACCCTCCTGATCAGGAATCGTAAGGTCAGGAGAAAATCAATCATATTTGAAATTCAGTCGGCCGTTGTGAGGTGTTCGGGGGCAAAACCTGCCAACATATTCTCATTATCAGTGCGAATGAAATCGTACGAAAAGTTATGCACACTATTTCGTACGTTTTGGACGTTTTTCCTAAAAAAAACCACATCAGTGCGCATGCGCTGGCAGACAGAAAAAAAAAGCAGATCCGCGGACGGACGTAAAATTAGGAAAAACCGTGCAATCATCACTTATTCATGTCTCTAACTACGTTGCTTGCTGTTTTATATCTTAGAGTTAGGGTTAGGGTTAGGGCTAATTGTAATTTATATTCTATATTCGTGAATGGTGCGTCAAATGCGCATGCGCATACGACGAAAATAACGTCCAAAACGTACGAAATTACGGTGCATAACTTTTCGTACGATTTCATACGCAGTCATAATGAGAATAGGTTGAACCTGCTGTTGAAGCAGAGTTACGACCGTCTACAAACCGATTTACCAGAACCTCAAACACTGCTCATGTGCAAACAACCGAGTTCTTCTTCTATTTCTACTGTCTACGTTTGGCTTTCAGATTGACGAGTCGTCTCAGCGCTGAGTCTGATGTCTGGTTTCTGGACATGCAGTGTGAACAGTTAGATCGCATTGGTACAGTGTAAGAACATACATAATAAGCTATGAACTTTAAAACCCTGCGATTTAATCGCACAGTTGGAGCTGTAGCTGAGTACATCCAGTACTCGAGTTAAGGGGGCATGAGAGGGGATGGCATCCCCCTTCTTAAAAAAATCTTTAAAATCATCCCCCTTCTTAAATAACCATCCCCCCCATACCATCTCCTGTGACATTTTATTACTGAATGTGTAAAATTTCTACTATATATTAACAGTAATAGCAATAATATTGCGCTTTTAAATTTTGTCGGGCTGTGAGCTTATCAGAATCAGAAATACTTTAATAATCCCAGAGGGAAATTACTTTTGTTACACGCTCCAGTTAGTTTTATATAATATATACACACATCCAACTATACAATAATAAAGATAAAAAATAAGAATAAAAAAGAAAAAAAAGAGAGATAAACTACAAAAACACATATAGCTCTCCTGTATATATATATATATATATGTACGTATATCTATGCATATGTAAAAACTAAATCCAAATAAAGTGAAAATCCAAGTAAATGATAAATCCAAGTATAGTGATACGTGGCGTGCAAAAATAGTGCAAAAAATGTCAGTTGGTGGGGGGAAATAAATAAAACCTGCAACCTGGTCAAGGTTAATGACCGACGTACCTGACATGTAACAATATATTGAATATATTAATTAGTCTATGTATGCTTCCAAATAAAAATCCACCAGCCCTCATTCTCATTTTGTTACAACTAGACTACTGAGTACAACGATTGAAAATATCGTACAGCGTCTGCCCGGCTTTAGATGGCTTCTATTATCCAGACATTAACTATATTATAGGCATATAATATAGGCCCTTCTGTTATGACAGACGTACATTACACTACATAGTAACAACCTGGGCACAGATACTACATATAATGCATTTATAATGTAAGACATACTGTTAGGTGTCAGAATGTTTTGTGTGGCCCACCTGTTGCTTTCCAAACTAGCTGATTTAGACCAACATTGTTCCTCACACCTACTGACACAGACTATTTCCTCTGTTTGGACAGTTTCCAGCTGTTTAAATGTCATGTCATCACTGTAACTGTTGGACCAGCGACTATATAAAAGAAGTGGATTTTTTTTGCACATCTGATGATTCTGCTTTAAATCTTTATGTTGAAGTGTGGAATTTTGATTCAAGGTAATCGTGCTAGAAGAGTCTTGAACATGTATTGATTTTAAAATTAGAACAACACTAGAGCTAAACAAGAACTAACGTGACTCTAATGATAATAGAAGCAGCTGGCAAAGAGGGCACAGTGTTGTTACAAACCATGGCGACAGTAGCAAGCTGGAAATGTTTCATTTGTCTTTTTAATGGGTTACAGAAAAGCCAGAAGAAAACAGCAAAGCTTCTTCTGAGTATAAGTTGTTCCACACTGCAAAAATTAAATTATTTACCCTTAATTTGAGTAGGTAAATGAGATAGTTTGCCAATGGAATTAGTATTTCTACTCTTAAAATAAGATAATGAGATAATATGCACTTGAAATAAGACAATGCAATTGTTTTTTCTTATTTCAAATGTAAATTGTCTTGTTATATTAGCAAAATACCTTGCTTGCCTCCTAAATTCAAGACTAAATTAAGAAAAATGACTTAGTTAGATTTTGTTTTTTGCAGTGCAAAGCATGTAAGCATTGAAGCCAAAGTATGGATGGATCTGACAGGTCACCTGGTCTTTTCCTAAGCAGCCTGCGTAATTACACACTAATACCTGCAGACACACAGCGCGGGATTTTCTCAGCCACTTTGAATTCCTGCTCACATGAATTTATCGGATCCCTCCTTTTCTCTGTCCCTTCAACTTTTCTTTTTCACCAGCAACATTTACAAACAACATCATTACATCTAGTGCGTAATTTGGTGTTTTTATTTTAGTTTCCATACTATAAATGAGGGGAGAAACAATGTGATTTTGTTCTATGAGGGGCCCCTGGGGCCCCTCCATCGATATCTATGTATAAAACGCCACTTTAAACAGTGGATCAGAGGGTTTGAAATCACTTCCACGCAGGACAGTTTGCGTGAACAAGACAGGGCGGTGAGGAAGAGGAGCAGGAGGAAGAGCAGGAGGAGGGGACCTACCTTTGCTATGGCTTTTTTATACCTCATGGCAGCTTGTTCGATAAGGCTTTGCACTTTAACATTCCCATCTCCACACGGAACGACCACCCGCGTCCTCCCGAAACACACCGTCACCTTCATTCCTCCTGCGCTGCGTTAATCCCACCGTGGAAAAAGACGCGTCCGAGCGACGATAACAACCATCCCGCGTGTGTGAGAGAGAGTGGGTGAGTGGGTGAAGGTAAAACCAAATCAACCCCCCCACCACCACCAAAGGGATCGCCTTTGTTTTGCAGCAGGGTCCTCAGAGGAGAAAAACAAGCAGAAGCGCCACGCAGGGATCCAGCGGCAGGGCTGGGTGGCGTCCTCCTCCTTACTCTGATTCAACTGACTCACCGCCTGAAACTTCCCAACACAAAGCCTCTCCGACTGCACAGCTGACAACTGACACTGCGTGTGAGCCACATGTTGGAGCAGGCACCAAGAATGCGCGCAGACTGTGCGCTCCGTGGGCACGCATCTGTCCAAACACACGTTTTTTACTCTTCCTCCACTTTAGGAACACTTTCTGTTGGAGAAATGTTATATTTAAAGGCGCCTTTAAAGCTAAAGTGTTTGGATAACCTTTGCGTAAAACTCGTATAATTAAGGCTGAAAAGCTAAAGTGGAAAAAAACTAACAGAACCTGCTTAACGCACTTTGGGATCATATTTCTGGCAACCATCTGTTGCAGTTTAACTATAAACCTAATAAATCTGGATGCGCTTTTATTCCAAACTCTGTGTTTACAATACAGACATTCTATAGTAAAACCCAATGAAAAGTTAGAGGGATTGATTTGTTCAACTTTTAACTGCCTCATGAAGCTCACCTCGATCTGACAGAAAATAGAAATAGAAAATTACTTTATTGTCCCACAATGGGGAAATGTAAAATAGAAGTCACATGGAATCAAGCAATGAAAAAGGGAACAAGGCAGACATGCCCCATGGTTGGAGATTGTATTTTTTGTTTAACCTTTTATAGAGAACTCAGTGAAATACTTTGAAAACCTAAATTTCAGGCCAATAGTTTTATTGGAATCCAGGACAAGACCTTATTACCTATGTAACATTAAAAAATAGAGATATTTTGATAGAAAAAAAATAATGTCAATGTAATAACACATGCCAACTTGCCAGAATATATTAAGGAAAAAAAAGTACTTCTATAAGAAATCCATGAAAAACACTCAGAGAGTGAAAGAACCATGTACAACATAACCTTAGAGGCATTAATGCTGATACTGGCACTTACATTTTTTTAGTTTATAAACCTAAATATAATTGTTAACCAGGCTTATTAACTGTTTAACTTTACTTTTTAACTTTTCAATTAATTTTTTACCTTTTTTCTTGACTTGTTAGCTTTTTTCGACTTAATTTACAGTAGGTAATATATCATTCAAGGGCTCATCTAATTGGTCGATTGCCAAAATGAGACGTACAGCCATGTAGCTGTATCTTTGCTGAATGACTGGATATAGATCTTGTGCTTCTAGACCTCACTGAGGGACAGAGGGGACTCTGAGTGATCAAAAAAGGTAATTTGCCCTATAAAGGGTTAACAGCTTAAGGGGACACCTGTCAGAGGTGGGAAGAGGGGGAGTCAGCTGTTTAAAGAGTTCAAAACAAGACAAATGTTCATCTTTTACCCACAGCAACAACTCCAAACACACACACAGCTGTGTTTTCATGACATAAGGGGACATTTTATTGACTTGCATTCATTTTATATGGCCTAAGCCTAACTCACAGAAGAGAACTTTACCTTATGAGGACCAGTTAAATATCCCTATAGGTGCCTGTAAGTCCCCACATGTTGGATATTTTACAAAATACGTCCTCCACATTGTAGGTAAAACGCGTCCTGATCTGCAGTGTTATACAGTAGTTTAGATCAAAGTGTATGCATGTATTAGAGAGAAAGTTTGTACCTTAACCCGGCCTGGGATAAGACTTAAAATGTTAATTCACGCGTTTCATCCAATCTGACAGTTTAGGCTATTAATACAAAAAAGGATTGACAAATATTTCTATCTCTACACATTTCAACTGGTTAAGACATATCTCAATATTGCAGCAGACATTTTTTTTTTACCTCAGAAGATGTTTCTTCCACCTAACAAACTATTGTAGAACTACAAACTATTAAAAGAATAAAAGATTATACTTTTGTGAGGTACTGTGAATTTAATCTGTCATATTCTAAACTGATGTCAGTTTTCATCTTAAGAAATGCCTAAATAAGAGAGCAAGTATTTCCTAACAAGGATCAAAGTGCTCCTTTCTCTTATATTTGATATGTTTAAGCTGTCAGCATGATAAAGCCCATAAAACATGCTTCATAAATAGCATATTATTGCAGTTTTAACAAGAAAAGGTGAGTTTAAATTCTTCTGTCAGTCTTATCTGAGCTCTAAACATTGGATCGTAGCACGCTCTAATGGGAGGAATATACTATGCATGAATTATTGACCCGCTTAGCAGGATAAGGATGATGCCAAAGGATAGAAAAAACATATGACCCAATTTTTAGATAAAAGCTGAAACCTTTCGGCGGCTTCCCTCGCTACCCGCAGCCCTCACTCTTTATTTCCAATGAACTCCAAATGAATGAACATGAAAAATCAGAGCAGCAGGGACAAACCAGGTCTGTACTGTGCAGTGTTAGTACAAACATCAACATGTCACATGGTTTACAGTTTGTAAACCCGGCTCTGAGCTTTTGCCTGGTGTCAGATGTCTTTGTTTATTGCAATAATAACTTCAGACCATGCACTATAACTTCCTTATTTCTTTCACTGTTGCTGCATACTGCAAATATATAAGCATAAAGTAAATATGCAGCCTCTAATTTATTTGTGCCATCTGACTCAGGAGGGGAAAAAAGGGGTCATGGTATGTTTACCTACAATACTATGACCTTTGAAAGGTTCCTAAATGTTACAGGAAAGGTATGAGGAACTGAGGTGAACTTTGGCAAACACAGGTTTTAATTTTATGTAACCAACTCCCCCTAGTGGTGAGTGTAGGCAAACATTTTGATACAAACACAGGAAATTAAGGTGATACTGATTAATTATTATTTAATTATTAAGTCTTAATATGACATTAATGTGTAACTTCCTTTCTATAAAAATTGGGACTGTTCCTGTCTAACAATATGATTTTGTGGCTTATAAATCCCACAAAAGGTTTCCGTCTCAGAATCTGTTGGGTATAAATCAAGGTTATTGACACAGGAGAGAACTTGAGTTCTATTTTGATAAAACTGTGTTTCTTTTTTTTTACTGATGCTTGCCAGTAATAGTCAATGAGCAGGGGTGGAGTTAGTGATGAGGCAAAGGTGGATAACTGGCTGACTCAAGATAGTTATGGTCCTCATAAAACCTCCAATAAAACTCACAGGTTGGAATTTATTTTCTGTTGTTAAATGCAGGTCAAATGTGTCATGTGTTTTTTTTCTGTAAAATAAATTACATTTCAAAAACAAAACTACATATAGGATATAGACTTTAAAGACTTTCTTAAAAGACATTTTTTTTTTTACAATCCATATTGAACATCAAGAAATAGTTTTGTTGAGAACAGGGATTTTGTTTTGATTGGGTTTTTTTAATGTCTCTGTATGTAACAATATATCAAACTGAAGATATGTGTAAATTAGTTTTATCCCTTAAAGAAAAAGTGTAAGTTAAATAAAAGGAAAACATTTCAGGGTCCGAAGAACAACACATATGAAAACTAGGGATGCACGATATTGGGATTTTGGCCGATATCCGATATGCCGATATTTTAAAACTCATGTAGCCGATAACCGATATCGATACCGATGTTAAAGCTGGACAAAAATAAGTAGTCATTGAAAATAGCAGTTTTGTTATCCATTTCTGACACTTTGAAAATAATATACTCAAATATATTTTCATATGCTGATATCAAATTGATTTTTTTAAAACGCGGCATCGATCTATTTTACTTTTAAAATCTCGTGAAATTTCATCGTTCTGTTACAAACTCTCGTGATATTTTTCAAATTCTTGTGAGATTTTGTTAGTAAAATAGATCGATACGGCGTCAATATATCCACACATAAAAATATGGCAAAATTTTGTGAATTTTCAGGGGATTTCGAAGCACAACGATGACATATAGCAATATTTCATTAGTAAAAGAGATTGATATGGTGTTTTTAAATGGCAATATATCAGCATATGAAGATATTGTGATATTTTAATGTATCAATATTTTTTCCCTCGTCTTTAGAAGTTTTAAGTCTGTAAAAAAGAAGTTTTTGAGGAAGAAGAAGAAGTAGTTTTTATTTTTTTTTTAGACTTTAGAAACTCAGAAGCTGATCAAATATCGGGTTAAATATCGGTGGGGTGGCCGATGTCCGATATTCAGTTTTAAGGCCGATACAGGCCGATACCGATAGGGGGCCGATTATATCGTGCATCCCTAATGAAAACTACTAGGTCAATCTCCAACACTCTTTAGTGTTGTTTATGATGGAGGAACATTTACAGTAAGACATTTTGGCTCCCTCAGGCTGCTACCGTGCATAAATAGTGAAATCTAGTGGGGGGTTTTTTCTATAAATATTTTGCTGTTTTCATTTACATCCCCTCTTTATCAAGTAATGAAAACCCGCTCTCTGGCATATTCAATCTGGCTAACAGCCTGTAACTATCCTACGCAAATATAAGGATGCCTTGTTTTATTTCATTCTTGAAACTCTTTTGACCTGGAAATAAAATAAATGAATCTTTAAATGAGAAAAATAATTTCTGCAGTGAGTACTCACTGCAATTAGAACACTTGACCATTCACCCATAAACACATACCCTGATGGTGGCAAGCTACATTGTAGCCACATCTGCCCTGGGGCTCACTGACAGAAGGGAGGCGGCTGTACGCTGGTGCCATCCACCATCAGTAGGCAATAAAAGGTGAAGTGTCTTGCCCAAGGACACCACAACACTGAAAGCGAGGTCCAGGGTCAAACCGACAACCATCCATTTGCTGAGCAAACTCCTGCACTTGACACCACTGCTGCCTAACAAGTTTTTAGGAAATATTTTTAACACCTAGAAATAAAGTTCTCTAATCATTTCTTTGTGATACATTTTGGGGCTAAATCTGCTAGAAATAATTACTCCCATTAAAAACTAATGCTCCTTAAAGGGAGATAGTCATGACATGTCTGTGCTAATATGGAATAGAAAGAACTAAGATAAAAAAGATAAGAGATAGTAGTAATTAATAACCTGTCAAATACAAACAGGTAGATTTAATATCAGCCACTAAGTCATATAAACTGGCTTTATTGAACATTAGATATCTGTCAGCAAAATCCTTTTCAGTCAAATACTTCCTCTCTGAACATAAGTTTGATTTTATATTTTTAATAGACACATGGATA